AACGACGGAATTCCACCAACATCATCCTCGGCCTCGTCGTTATTAGTTATAAGACTCGCCATGTCATTTTTCACTGTCGAAGTTCTCGCAATTCATTGTCTTCATTCGCAATGTAATAGTTCCAAAAGTCTAAATTAGCAGAGGCAACAAAACAAGAAACGAATCTTCGCTCTTCCCTTTTTCATAAAAGCTACGCAGCTAATAAGATCGACAACATCATTGTCAAAGTTAACCGACATCGCTAGGGCGCGCTAAACTACGCAAACGATAACTTAGCTAGTCTCCTCCGCGTCGAATATCCCACGCGCACCGATCAGGATATGTATAAGCTTGATACTAGAAATATCCCGGTCAACAAATAACAAAGGTTACAAAGACATTGTCAACTGAATTGGATTCTCAATACGGCCAAGGTGTCCAAGGATCATGAAAATAGACCACAGATCACCATAGGGGTCACAGAGCAGCGTGACAGGGTCGTGGAAAACGTGGATGTCACCTAGGTCATTGTTCGACTATTTCCGACCATTTCCGACGTTAATAAGATGAGCTAGCTAAGACGACAGCTTGATTTTCCTTGCATATTTCAGCCTCTGGAATTCCCGAATTTCGGTTTCTTTAAAGCGACATTTCCCGATTCCCACCTGTTAAAATCGCCAAATCCCGTGTCCCGGTGATAAATACAATCCCGAATCTCGTCCCCCTTTTCCTTCAAAATCCCGAATCCCGGCCTTCAAATAAGCCAAATCCCGGATCCCGAAAAACATATTGGGGATTGCCAAGGCCCTTGGCAATCCCAAGTGACATTTCTGCGGCTCTTTTGAAAGCAATCATTTGCTTTCGTACCCATTTCATTGCTGAAGAAGGTTATAGTTTTTTAACCGAAACGTTCTCACACAAAGTTTTTTAGTCAGTGACAATTATCTAAACATGTGTTAAGCAATTCCAGTGTTGACACTTACGTCAGCTTCAGTTAGTGTAGTCAATTCTAAAGGGGTTCCTTTAGACAAGATTTTATCAGCTGGTGGTTGGTCACATGTTTCCGCATTTAGTAAATATTATAACAAACGGATTGTTAATACTCACGGGTGTAACTATGGGTCACGCTTACTTAGCCTTGACGGAGCCAAACAGTATACATGCTCGGAAGGAAAAAGGCCCACAGCACTTATGGTATGTTGTCATTAAATACGCTTTACCACGTTTGTACTATAGTGGGCTGTTGATCATTCTCTGTCGTTTGACCACTCTGCTTTAAAATCTCACGTGATCACTGAATGACGTAACGGTGAGGTAGAATTACAAAATTAAACGACTTACCCGGAAGTTGAAGTTTGATTATAATTCTACCGAGCTGTGGAGTCAGAAGGGGATTACATGCCCACCCTAGTGACTGTGCATGCAACGAACTGTGCACATCGTCCCGCCTTATCATTGGGGTGTGGCCATCCGACAGGTTTTGAATATTGAGCTGAGCTGGCAGGTCGCGCAATCTCACGTAATCCCCTTCTGACTCCACGGCCCGGTAGAATTACAATCAAACCTCAACTTCCGGGTAAGTCTCGTTTAATTTTTTAATCAGACGGTAACGGTAGCAACAAAAAT